GTAGCCAGCCAGCCAACCCACAGGCTGGCCAGTAGCCAGCCCACAGGCCAGTAGCCAGCCCACAGGCCAGTAGCCAGCCCACAGGCCTACAGCAAGCCACAGGCTTACAGCCAGCAAGCCATAGCCTGCCAGCCGCAGTCAGCAAGCCCACAGCCTGCCAGCAGTAGCCAGCAAGCCCACAGCCTGCCAGCCGCAGCCAGCAAGCCCACAGACTGCCAGCCAGTAACAGTAATTAAGGTAAGAGGAGCCAACTTGGCTTAGGTATCAGCGAGCTATGTTGTGTTGCTATATTGTGAATAGGAACCAGAGTGTTGGAGAGACCACCCTCCAGGCCCCATTAGACTCTAGCCTCTGCTAGAAATCCCCTCCATGGCCCATTAGCCCTCAATTGTAGTTTCTACTGGGGCCTGGAGGCGACTGTTTCCAGCAGGGGATATCTAATGGACGCTGAGATGGCCTCTGTTAGAAAGACCCCTTCCAAGCCTTTTAGACTCCATTGTAGTCTCTAATGGGGCTTGGAGGGGATTCTATCTAACACACTCTCTAAAGGACACTGAGATAGCCTCCGCTAGAAAGACCCCCCTCCATGGCCCATTAGCCCTCAATTGTAGTCTCTACTGGGGCCTCGAAGGGCTTATTGCCCTTTTGTTCCTTGTGTCTAAAGATTGTGTAGGGTGTGGCTGGAGGCGGTGCATGGAGGCGGGACAAGGGTGGCGCTTGCTGCAGAGTATGGGTGGGGCCTGTAAGGGGGCCCTTGATTTATTTTGCCCGGGGGCCCTGAGGGTTCTCAGTCCGCCCCTGCCTTTCCTTTTGCATTTTTCACTCACAAACTGTATATATATATATATATATATATATGCATTTTTCACAGGAATTTTTCAATTCCTCTTCTGCAACTGTCACTAGTCTAATACTATCCTTACCTTTTTGTGTCATTTTACCCCACTCCCTCTAGCATGTAAGCTCATTGAGCAGGGCCCTCAACCCCTTTGTTCCTGTGTGTCCAACTTGTCTGGTTACAACTACATGTCTGTTCGTCCACCCATTGCAAAGCGCTGCGGAATTTGTTGGCGCTCTATAAATATCATAATAATAATATCTATATATATATCTATATATAATCCAAAGGAAAAAATTAGAGCAGTTGCTGGATTTTCAATAAATTAATTCAATTTCATATGTGAAATTTTTCCACATTTAAAACACTTAATTGATTTATTAACATTCCAGCAACTGCTCTCATTTTTTCCTTTGGATTATATACACAGCGCAGTCCAGCACCATGGTTTGAATACGGTTTGTGACATTTCATTTTGGGCAGAGTGCCAGATCATTTGTTTTTTATATATTTATTTATATATATATATATATATATATATATATATATATACACACATACAGTGGGACCTCGGTTTACAAACGCCTCAGTTAACATAATTTTCGGTTTACAAATGAAAATCCATTGAAAATAATGCCTCGGTTTACAAATTGTTTTCGCAATACAAAGCAAGTTTCCCCAGGATGCATTGCACCTGGGAGGTTTATAGCACCGTCCCCTGCATGCTGGAGCCTGTGGGTAGCACGTGGCGTCGAGTGTGGAGGTGTTGGAGCGGCTTTTGCATCGAGTTTTGGAGCCATTCTGATAATTGTTTGCAGTTTTTTGGGGACTTTTTGGGGCATTTCTGAAGCTGTGGAAAGGTAGGGAGCTGAGCTTCGTCGTTTGCATGCCTTTTATTGTGTGTTCTGCATTGTGGGTTAGTTTCCATGCCAGCTCATTTTGACTTTTTTCTGACCTCCAGAACAGATTAATTGTTTTTCAATGCATTCCTATGGAAAACCGTGTTTCGGTTGAAAAAAATTTTTTCCCAATAAGAAACGTCACGGAGAATGCATTAAATTCGTAAACCGAGGTCCCACTGTATATATAAACGTAGTAAAGACAGGAGCACTCTCTCAGTTTTCCAAGTGTATTTGAAAAGTTATCACCACCTATACACCACCTATACATCAACGTTTTGACCCTGTCTTTACTTTGTTTGTATACTTTGCTGGGAAGAACCCGGGTATAGTTAATTTATTTTTTTATATATTTTTGGGTTTGAGTGCCATAGCCTGGACAATATAAGTGTATTTTGATATTTATATAATGAAATCATATGTATGTATTATATATGTACTATATTATAAAATGATTTAATTATTTTATATTATATTATATATATAAGATATGTATAATATATTTATTTGTATTATTTTTTTTTATTTTTTAAAACTTAGCAGTCAGCTCCATAGACTAGATCACTAGATTGTGATCACATGGCCCAGGAGGGCCGGGGGTTGCTGTCAGGCAGTCCCACCCAGCTGGAATTGCCGGTCAGGTAAGTTACGATCGGCGAAAAGATGGTTGGGCGTGCTATGCCATCTCTTGGCATTTAGGCCCACCCCTTTAAGGATGGAATAGCACACCCGCCGCCCTTAAGGAGTTAATAACAGAGAAAAAGTGCCTGCTGACCTCAGGGACAGAGCAACATGGTGTGATCTAAACCACATGCAGCTGTAGACTACATTGCCCATGATGTGAAGCAGCCAGATGCATCTGGATCCTTTTGAGATCCAGTTTACAAGTGCTGTTTTTTATATTAACTCTTTTATTTAAAGTGGCAGGTAGCTCCACTTTCCTTACTAGTTTTACGTGTGCAAGATGGCATTCAGATAAAACAACAGTAAAAAGGCTGCGCCACAGGAAAGATAAAATAAATTCAATAAGTAAAAAATCCAACTTAAGTGTCCTTGCGAATAGTCTTTATCACAAAAAGTGCAGTGGTGAAGTCTTCATAAACTGTATTAGTTCCACTTATATAGAAGACAAAAAAGAGAGAGAGGGACGACCAACAGTGTAGTATTGTATAATTCCAATGGTGACGTATTAAGAAATAATAGATGAGAACTCACATTTGATGTCCAGCTCTAGGGTAAAAGCGCATACAGCGGTATGATCCCCGCATGTAGGATATGTCGTGGGTATCTCTCCGTCAGTGGTGTCCAACTAAATGAGGAGCAGACCGACTGCTCTTGTGTGTCAGCATAGGTGGATTGATCCCCACCTCTGGATTTCTTGGAGTACAGGAGACTTCCGAAGTAGGTGTTGGTATATAATAGTACATAAAATACTAAAAATATACTAAAAAATACTAAAAAGCCAGGTTAAAAAAGAAAGAATAATGTGTATATAAAACTAGAAAAAAGAATAATTGGAACAAATAAATGACCAAAAATTGCTTTAATATTAAAATACACAGTATAAAATATCCATAACGCGTTTCGTCAATAGACTTTATCAAATGGAATAACATACAATACCTGGCTAGTTGTATTATATAGGGGTTCAGATAATTTGAATTTGGCGCCAAAATTGATCCATCCAATCAGAATTAAGTTACATTTGGCAGTTTAAAAACTTTAAAAGACATCAATAAAAACAAAATATAAGGTATAAGAACACTAATAATATACATACATAGCAAAACATTATACATTTTTTTAGTCCTATTAGACATAAACTGGGTAACCTTAGATGGAGTGGACGAATCTGTAGTTCTACACACTATACATAAAAGCCTTTTGTCTGCGGAAAAAAAGAAAAACCCCTTACAGGCGATTCTCGAGTAAAATTAGTGGTTAAAATGGATTTAAAATTTGGGGCACCTCTAAACACAATATTTGGCTAATTAGGTAAAATTGGATTTAAAATATCATCTTCTTTAAGTATGTGCCAATGTTTTTTTATTATTTTTTTGACTTTGTTACTTTTATTGTTGAAATTAAAAATAATAGGAAGAGATATTGATTCGTCATTTTCTTTGTTTTTATAAATCAGAAGATCATTTCGTTCTTTTTGTTTTGCTGTATTAATTGTATTATTAATATCTGATTCTAAATATCTTTTTTCCATAAATTAGTTTGTTTTTTTAAAGTTGGCTTGTTTGTTAAAATCTGTTATTTCTGAACAATTCCTACGAAGACGTAGGAACTGGCTTTTTGGGGCACTCTCAAGCCAGGGCTTGTAGTGGCAGCTTGTTTTGTCGATGGCCGTGTTAACACACACCTTTTTGAAAAATGTTTTTGTGTGGAGTTGGCCTTCTTTAATAAAAATATTGAGGTCTAAAAAATGGATAGATTCTTTACTATATTCATGTGTGAGAATAATACCCTTATTATTGGTATTAAGATAATTGATAAAAGCAATTAAATTATTTTCTGGTCCTTCCCAAATAAAAAAAAGGCCATCTATATATCTAAAATATGAGACTAGGTTTGCCCGCCAGGCATGATTACCCCAGACAGCTTTAGATTCCCAGTCTACCATAAACAGATTTGCATAGCTGGGGGCAAACCTAGTACCCATAGCAGTGCCCCTCTTCTGAAGATAAAAAGAATCTAAAAACCAAAAATAATTATTTTTTAAAATTATGTTAATACCTTCTATTATAAAATCAATCTGGATGGCAGGATATTACCTTCTAGGGTAAGAATCCTTTTTATGGCCTGGCATCCGATATCGTGAGGAATGATTGTATAAAGTGAATATAAGCAAAAATAGTATATACACTACAAATGTGAAATAAAAACGTATAGCTGGAAGAGTTCCCAGGTGTACCTCACAGACACCCAAGAGACAATATAAAAAAAGTAAATGGAAAAACCCCAGAATACGTATAAGTGAATATATAAATTAAACAACAACCTGATGTAGGATATGGTCCATATAGTAAATTCTGTGTAAAGATCAAAATACTGACATAGCGTAATAAAGTAAAAAAGGAAAAAATATATAAATATAAGTGAATATAGATGCACTCACAAACGCACGTGAAATAAGGCTTTTCACCCACTCTGGGGTAATATGAAGTATGATGAACGAACTGGAGAATCACCTCATCAGATATATGTAAATAAAGGAAATCAGAAATAGTGAAGTTTGTTATAAAAATACAAAATCACATTTATTGGTCACACTTACATATGTGAAAATCATAAAAAGCGTATCTCCTTATAACCTGGAACTCCATCCAGTGTGGTCAGCGGTCCAGAATAGGATCCAACAGGAGTAGTTATAGGAAAACAGCCCAAAATACAAATGAATAAAAATAATAAACAATAATTAAAAGTTCATATATAGAGAATCCAACGCGTTTCGTCCTGTAGGGGTGTAGGACTTCTTCAGGGATATTTCTGTACTTCTATTTTCCGGTTTAAATACTGTAGCAGATCTGTACTTGATTGCGTCCATCTGTTTTACAGCGTGCGTTCCATCCGTGGAACGCATAAAGGCGCAAAATACTCCATAGTTCAAGAGAACAGTTCCGTGTTATGCCGCGCATGCGTGTAGTATACGCGCATGCGCATAATGAAAAAAGACCGAAACCTAAGAGGAACATAAAACAAAAGGCGAAAACATCGCCTGAGACACTGATAAAGCAAAAAAAACGATAGATATGAATTACATTGGAGGATGTAAGAACAAAGGGCAGTAGTATAAAGGAATAAAAAAATAAAAAATATATAAAATATATATACATAAATGAATATATAAAAAAATATATAAAAAATATATATATAATATAAAAAATACACATATATATATATATATAGAAGTCTACAAAAATCATATATGTGAAAAATACATCCTGCAATGCAATACATCCAAACAAATAAATACATCCAAAAAACAAGACCAGATACAATATCCATATTGTGCAATACACATAAATGCCCAACACTCTAGACCTAAAATATATATAGAAATGAGAGGAAGGCCACATATATATATATATAACTACATAAAAAATATATATAGAAAAGAGAAGAAAATCTGCTATTAAATGAGACCATGAAGGTCTATTTCTTGGTTAAGTCCTAGATATAATGTTTTTAAATTAAAAATCCACAGAGCTTCCTTTCTAATTAATTCCTGATTTTTATCCCCTCCTCTCCAACCCATCTGGACTAGATCTATGCCGTATGCTTGAAAGGTGTTCCAACTAAATAAAGGACAAGAATTGCAATGTCTAGGGACACTGTGATCTAGTTTATTTTTCTTTATGTTATTAAAGTGTTCCAAAATTCTAATGTGTAATTTTCTGGAGGTACGACCAACGTATTGAGCTCCACATCCACATTGTAATAAGTATATAACAAAAGTAGAGGAGCAATGAATATGTTTTTTAATGTTATAAACTTTTTTAGTATAGGTTCCTATGAAATCTGTAGTTTTCCTAAAGGAAAAAAAAAAAAAAAGTAAATATCAAAAAAGGAAAACTACAGATTTCATAGGAACCTATACTAAAAAAGTTTATAACATTAAAAAACATATTCATTGCTCCTCTACTTTTGTTATATACTTATTACAATGTGGATGTGGAGCTCAATACGTTGGTCGTACCTCCAGAAAATTACACATTAGAATTTTGGAACACTTTAATAACATAAAGAAAAATAAACTAGATCACAGTGTCCCTAGACATTGCAATTCTTGTCCTTTATTTAGTTGGAACACCTTTCAAGCATACGGCATAGATCTAGTCCAGATGGGTTGGAGAGGAGGGGATAAAAATCAGGAATTAATTAGAAAGGAAGCTCTGTGGATTTTTAATTTAAAAACATTATATCTAGGACTTAACCAAGAAATAGACCTTCATGGTCTCATTTAATAGCAGATTTTCTTCTCTTTTCTATATATATTTTTTATGTAGTTATATATATATATATGTGGCCTTCCTCTCATTTCTATATATATTTTAGGTCTAGAGTGTTGGGCATTTATGTGTATTGCACAATATGGATATTGTATCTGGTCTTGTTTTTTGGATGTATTTATTTGTTTGGATGTATTGCATTGCAGGATGTATTTTTCACATATATGATTTTTGTAGACTTCTATATATATATATATATGTGTATTTTTTATATTATATATATATTTTTTATATATTTTTTTATATATTCATTTATGTATATATATTTTATATATTTTTTATTTTTTTATTCCTTTATACTACTGCCCTTTGTTCTTACATCCTCCAATGTAATTCATATCTATCGTTTTTTTTGCTTTATCAGTGTCTCAGGCGATGTTTTCGCCTTTTGTTTTATGTTCCTCTTAGGTTTCGGTCTTTTTTCATTATGCGCATGCGCGTATACTACACGCATGCGCGGCATAACACGGAACTGTTCTCTTGAACTATGGAGTATTTTGCGCCTTTATGCGTTCCACGGATGGAACGCACGCTGTAAAACAGATGGACGCAATCAAGTACAGATCTGCTACAGTATTTAAACCGGAAAATAGAAGTACAGAAATATCCCTGAAGAAGTCCTACACCCCTACAGGACGAAACGCGTTGGATTCTCTATATATGAACTTTTAATTATTGTTTATTATTTTTATTCATTTGTATTTTGGGCTGTTTTCCTATAACTACTCCTGTTGGATCCTATTCTGGACCGCTGACCACACTGGATGGAGTTCCAGGTTATAAGGAGATACGCTTTTTATGATTTTCACATATGTAAGTGTGACCAATAAATGTGATTTTGTATTTTTATAACAAACTTCACTATTTCTGATTTCCTTTATTTACATATATCTGATGAGGTGATTCTCCAGTTCGTTCATCATACTTCATATTACCCCAGAGTGGGTGAAAAGCCTTATTTCACGTGCGTTTGTGAGTGCATCTATATTCACTTATATTTATATATTTTTTCCTTTTTTACTTTATTACGCTATGTCAGTATTTTGATCTTTACACAGAATTTACTATATGGACCATATCCTACATCAGGTTGTTGTTTAATTTATATATTCACTTATACGTATTCTGGGGTTTTTCCATTTACTTTTTTTATGATTGTATAAAGTGACTGAACGTCACAGGTGACCAATATAAAATTGGGTTTCCATATAAAATTATTTAAAAAATTTAAAAGTGACATGGAGTCTTTTAAATAAGATTTCATTAGTTTTACTGAAGGCTGAAGTAGGGTGTCGATATATTGAGAAAGGTTGCATAAAAGAGACCCTATTCCAGAGACAATAGGTCTTCCTGGGGGGTGATTCTCATCTTTATGAATTTTAGGAAGAAAATAAATAACAGGAGTAATAGGAAATTCTTTGTTTAAAAAATTAAACTCTTGTTTGTTTAAAATGTTTAAATTCAACTCTTTATTTAAAAAAGTGGATAGAGTAATTTGAATGTTTTTTGTAGGCTTAGATGAGAGTTTTTCGTATACCTGTTTGTCCTCTAGTTGCCTTAAAGCTTCTTCAATATACATTTTGCTAGATTGTATAACTACTCCCCCGCCTTTGTCAGCTGATTTTATAACAATATCTTTATCTTCTTGAAGTTCTTTGATTGCCTTTTTTTCAGCATTTGTTAGGTTATTAGCATCGTATTTGTTATATTTGATTTTTTCCAGGCCTTTTTGGACAAATTTTTCAAATAAAATCAACGGGGCAGATTTACAGTGTGATGGATAAAACCTGGATTTTTCCTGGATGTGTATTAATAAAACCATTGTCTTGTGGAGAAGGAGTGGGAGTTGGTAGTGCATCTGTTTTACTATAAAAAAATCTTTTTAATGTGGCTTTTCGAACGAATTTGTTTACATCAAGGAAAGCCTGGAAAGGACTAAAAAAAAGAAGTAGGGGCGAATTTAAGACCTTTACTAAGAACAGACACTTGAGCAGCTGAAAAAACTTTTTGAGAGAGGTTAAAAATACCACTACAGGGATCTTGGGAGGGTATTATTGTCTTTCTAGTCTTTCCCTTTTGCTCCCGTCTTCCACTTCGTCTTCCTCTAAACTTAAAATTCGTTTTTGGGAGCGTGACGGATGTGGTGTCTGGGCTAGTGCAGGTTGGTGGGTACATATTTCTAAAAAATGGTCCTCGTTATCAAAATCAGAATCTATTGACAGTAATTGATATCTGTTGGAGTGATTTGGAATAGGAGGTGATTTTGAATAATTTGAGTATTGGTGATAGTCATTGGTGTATCGTGATCTTTGGGGTTTGGGTGAGAATTTGGGACCAGAATAGTAGTGATATTTTGGGGATTGTGGTACAGGATTGTGAGTGTAGTGGAATGGTTTCTTTTGTTTATATGAAGGTAATTGGTTAGTAGCTTGGTACGGTAATTTAGAAGCAGCATGGTGATATTGAGCTGGGATTTTAGTAGATCTCACCATGGATGGAGATTGATAGTGGGATTTCCGTGTGGCAAAATTGTGGTATTTGGAAGATGGTGGGTTGTTATTGTATGAGTGAGAGTAGGCATATTGGTGATCATAATGGTTAGTCTTGGCATTCACTATATTGATGATTGGATAAAGCTTCTATTAGAAACTAAGACGGAAAGGACTTTACTCCAACTTTTTTTGTTCTCACACATTTCATTATTTTCAAAGTGGTTCTGTCATTCTTAAAAATTTAAGTTTTCCTTTCCGTATACCCCCTGTTTCTGATGATTATACTCCCTCCATTGCCACTTGCCTCTTATTTATATTTATGTGATGAATTCTAATACCTGGGTGCAGCCATTTTGTTGTCCTCTGTCCATAATGTCTGCTGCGTGTCCTTCTGTAGGGACTGATTTTGTTTCACTGAGGATTATGAGTACATTTGGCAACTGAAACAGAATTTACTTTCAGCCCCACCCATTGCCACGTTTTGTCACCTTGACTGCTATACATAAGGAAAAGAAGTCCCTACTTTTACTGTATCTATTTTACGAAAACATCACTCAGTAAAAAAAATAAAAATAAAAGACACTTCAGACATAGTGAACTATGTAGAGGCTGATTAGATAAAGTTTACTTTTTGTTGACAGAGCCGCTTTTACATGCCTTAACTTATAATTGAAGGTGTGTACAAACAGCTCGTTCTGCTGTTTGCAAAATAACATTTAAAAAAACCACAACCTGTAAAACTTGCATTTTGTAAACTCTGCTCCAGTTACAATATCTCCATAACATTTTTCATGGATAGTAATAATCATGAATTATTGTGAATCCTTTGCTTACTCAGTCAACTGGTATGTCCTTATTCACAGTGAATGGAGGGCAAAGGTCTGATGGTTGTTACCCTGGTAACTAAAAGTCCTCACATTACCTGCTAAAAGGATGCAGGTGGCTACTGTAATCATACATACAGCAGCTGTGCATGCTTTTCTACACCCTTACACATATCACAGCTTAGATTTACTGGGAGGTGATGGTAATAAAGCCTAGAGATAATTAGCATGTGGTTAAATGCTATGTATGGGACTAAAGCATGTTGCAAGACTACTGCAGAGTTGTAACATGATATTAGCCAGGGATGCTTATAAAACACAGGGACACAATTTGTAGAGCAGGTGGGCCAATGCTCCACTATGTA